AAAGGATGTATCAGCATCAAGAAGAATGGATCCATGAGGGAGAATAAGAGGTAAAAAGTAATGTAAGCAAAGATTTTACAAATCTTTACAAATTTACTAAAATAGGCAGAAAGGATGGAAGAAGAAAGAAAAAAAGAAATAATAAAAGGATAAGAAATTTCATAGACTAAGCTGGATGAGGTGGTACAAACTTGTAATCCTAGTGACTCAGGAGGCTGAGGCAGGACGATTGCAAGTTTGAGGCCAACCTCAGCATCTTAATGAGGCCCTGTCCCAAATTGAAGAATAAAAGGGATTGGTTTTGTAGCTCAGTGGTAAAGTGCCCCTGAGTTCAACCCCCAGGGAAGGAAGGAAGGAGGGAGGGAGGGAGGGAGGGAAAGAAGGAAGGAAGGAAGGAAGGACTGCTATCTCCAGGAACTGTTAGAGAACCAGGAATGTCATAGGGTTCATCAATGGACAGGAATAATCTCATCTCCTCAGGAATCACATTTGAAGAACATTTGGAGGGACATAGTATGGGGAGGTCTTGAACTAAACTTCTGGAATCCAAATCCAGATTCTACCACTTACCAGGGATGTGACTCTGGATAGATTATTTAATCTCTCCATGCCTTGGTTTCTCCATCTATGCAATGGGCATAAGACCAGTGACTACTTCATATGATTGCTATGAGCTTTTGGTTGCAATGTGCCTGGTACATAGTGCTATATTAATTCTTGATGTATAAATAATAAAATTAACAAATGAAGCTTATTTCTTACTAGAGGGGTTTGTTACAGGAATAAAGGTAATAGACTAGAAAATAAAGTTAAAGAAAACTCATAACATAAAGCAAAATAATTGCAGTCCAATACATATAGCATGATACTTATCATTGGGGGAAAAGACGTTTTCTACAAGGCACATTTACGTACACAAACTCATAGAACAATGTAGGGTAGAATACTTGACTCTGTGGAGGGAACTGGAATTAATAGTAATGATCAGGGGCTGGGGTTGTGGCTCAGAGGTAGAGGACTTGTCTAGCATGCATGAGGCACTGGGTTCAATCCTCAGCACCACATAAAAATAAAATAAAAAATATTGTGTACACTTATAACTAAAAAATAAATATTAAAAAAATAGTAATGATCAAGGGGAACCTCAGCTTTATCTTCAGTATTTTAATTGTTACTGTGAGAATGGATCTATGTTACCTATGAAATTTTTAAAAATTTTTTTTTAGTTGTAGATGGATGCAGTACCTTTATTTTTATTTTTATATGGTGCTGAGGATTGAACCCAGTGCCTTCCACATGTGAGGAGAGCACTCTACCAGTGAGCTACAACCCCAGCCCACTTATAAAATTTTTTTAAAGAAAAACTTTTTTGGAAAATTAAAATTAAAAAAGAATAAAGTGTCCAAGAAGCAATGAAAAAGGAAAAACTGGAATCAAGGGAAGAGTCACAGTATAGATACCATCAGAATTGTGTCTTAAAGGAGGCGTGGCCTAAGAAAAGGAGCCCTGCTAAAAACAGGGATACTTGAAAAGACAAAGATGTATTTGGGGAATGACCAGGATTAGCGTCAACAGAGTCTGGGTATGTGTGTTCGGGTGCTTTCTTAGTCTGTTCCTGCTGCTATAAAAAATACCTTCAACGGGGTGATTTGTAGATAGTAGAAATTGAGTTGGAGGTAAAGCTCAGTGGTACTGTGCTTGCCTGACACGTGCAAGGCCCTGGATTTGATCCCTAGAGCTGCATCAGATAAATAATAGAAATTTATTTCTCATAGTTCTAGTCCAAAATCAAGGGGTTACAAATTCATTGTCTGATGGGGATTTGCTCTGTCCTCTCTATATGGTGTCTTGCTGCTGCATCTTCACGTGGTGGTAGGGAGGGAAGGAAGAATATAAACTCCCTCTCTTGGGTCCTTTCATAGAGGCAGTAATCCCATATAGGGCAGAACCCTCATGACCCAATTACTCCCAAAGACTCACCTCTTAAACCCATCACCTTGGGGGTTAAGTTCCAACATATGAATTTTGGAGGGGCACCAACACTCAGGCCATAGCAGGCAGAGGAAGAGAAGAATGCGTAAGAAATCAGGCTGCATAGATGGGTTTAGGATAGATTGCCAAAGGCTTCCACACCACACAAAGGAAATTAAACTCTGTTTAAACAGCATTTTAAGTCACCTAAGTGACATGAGCACATAGATGGATCATTTTTAGTCATGTGGAGGATGGATCTCTCCTAGGACTTCTGGAAGCCAACTCTCTGATACTAGACCAAGTGGTGGATTGATGGGGGCCTAGAGCTACCCAGAGTTACCCTGAATCTTGAATGGAGTTGACCCAGGGAAAGTAGCACCTACAGGTAAGTAGCATCTTTTGAACCTAGAGTTAAGCCATACCTTAGCCAGTGGTATCTGTGGACTGGTCATGAGCCAGTTATCCAGTTATTATCTAATTTATTTTTTGTCTATGTTGGGTTTCTGTTTAATCTGATTCTGTATTAAGAGTTTTCACAGAGCAGCACTGGGAACAAGGAGCTTAGCTGAAATCCACTGCTTTGGGATTGGATTCATGGTGAGGAGCAAGGAAAAAAAGATATCCTTAGCCACTGTTGGAATCCTCTCAGAGAGGGCCGGACAAGCTCTCTGGTTTGCTAAATTAGCAGAATCTAAGGACTCAGAGACTCCAGAAGGCCCAGACCAGTGACCCAGACTGGAATTTTGCCATACAGCAAAATCTAAAGAAAAATCTTAGGGTCCAAACTAGAGTTGCTAAGTTTAATTTTGTTAAATAGAACTTTAAAAAAAAAAAGTAAAACACCTACTACCTTTCATCTTTATAATATCATAAAAGAAATAACACACACACACACAAATGCGTGCACATGCCCACACACACACACACACACACACACAGAAAAAGTAACTCAGGAATACAGAACAGCCCTTTAAAATGAATGCACTTGGCGCTGTGCTTTATTTTGCTGTACTCACTTTTCTTACTTTGCTTCAGACATATAAAAACTTTACTTACAACACCAATCTGCTAACTGGCCTAGTGCAGAGTCCTATGACCCTGAGTAGAATGTCCCCAACCCTCAGAGCTTAACCACCTCCCTGGGACGTGGAGCTCGGAGACTTAGAGGCCCCAGCATCCTAGGGAAGGGCAGGGAACAGGGATCACAAACAGCCTTGAGGAAAATCCCCCATCCCCCACTGGCCCTGGGCACAAGTAGTTGCAATGCTGGTTAGAGATTAAGGGAGATTCCAGAGTGTGAACGGAAGCCCTCGCCCCCCCAGTGTGGGGGCAGCAGTGGGGACTCTGTGGACAGAGCCTGGGGTTTGTGCTGAAGTATGCAGTGCGCTTGTACTGCTCCCGAGGGCCCCTGTGCTGGGGGAACAGTAGCTCCTTCAGGTTTCTGCAGGTGGGGGGAAGGGTGTTAGCACGAGTGTGACCTGTTGAGATTCTTTCCCCTCCATTCCCCATTGTTGGGGCAGGCACTTCCTCACCCACCCATTAAGCAGGGCTGGTAGCAGGGAGCCTTTGACAAATCAGACTCTCAGCACAAATACACGCTGGAGTTATGCAGTCAGTATTAGAATGAGTTTCTAATAGATGGAACATCTCTGCCTCTTACATACACACACACACACACACACTCACAGACTGGATGATGGAACCAATCAGTTGAGAGCCAGAACCCTGGGGTAGGTAAGATGGAGACAATGAGAGCAAGACAAAAGCACAGAGAAAGGCCAGAGAAGGGGGTGTCCCTATGCCCAATTCTAGAGGAAGATGGACAATAGGAAACAAACCGGGAAAAGGAAAGGAAAGGACCTTTGGCACTATGCCCTGCCCTCTCATGGGTACACATTCCCCCCCCCCCCCCCCCGTGGTGGTCTCTGTCTTTCTGGTGTTAAGTGGTGAGTTAAGGAGTTACCTCAAGGTATATGAGGGGCATCAAGGGAGCCAAAGATTTCAAGAGCCAGAACCCCAGTTCAGCGAGGCCTCAGGAGACAGGGAAAGATTCAAATTCCAGGAACTTGGTGGGAGGGAAAGGGAGAGAGAAGGGAAATGGAAGGAGACCCTCAGGGTTATACAAAATTACATACAAGAGGAAGTGAGGGGAAAGGGGAAAAAAACAAGGGGGAGAAATGAATTACAGTAGATGGGGTAGAGAGAGAAGAGGGGAGGGGAGGGGAGGGGAGATAGTAGAGGATAGGAAAGGCAGCAGAATACAACAGACACTAGTATGGCAATATATAAATCAGTGGGTGTGTAACCGATGTGATTCTGCAATCTGTATAAGGGGTAAAAATGGGAGTTCAAAACCCACTTGAATCAAAGTGTGAAATATGATATGTCAAGAACTATGTAATGTTTTTTGTTGTTGTTGTTTTTTTTTCTATGTAATGTTTTGAACAACCAACAATAAAAAAAAAATTCCAGGAACTTCAGCAAAATGAAATTCTCGGGTCTTCATTCTGGTGATCTGACTTCAACATGACACCATCTCTCTGCCCTTTTAAACTTCTTTCTGACACCACCAGCTCATACATCTGTCCCTTTCTTTCCACCCAACCTCCCAAGAGATCCCAAGATCTGACTGACTATGAACAGTTTTCTCCATGAGATTCCAAAGACCAGGTTCTGAATCCCCTGACCTTGAGCAGGGCATCCTCAACAAGGGCAGAGAATGGCAGGGGAGGGGTCTTATGGCCACAGTGGATAGAGATACTGAGTATAGCAGTTTCTTTTAGGTGTGGCAGGGCAGGCAGCCTGATTGACATGTCAGCTTGCAAGAGGGCCAATTCTGCCTCCAGAGTGGCTTCCAAGGAGCTTGGGACACCTTTGAACTTCCCAACAGAAACACACTCAGTTGCAGCTCTTAGATCCCAGATCTGTGAGGTCAAGTATGGCTAAGTGACTTGAAATCCCACAATCCCATGCTGTTGGGGCCCAAACCTACCCTACATCAATTCAGAGAAGCCTGAGACTGCATGCCAAGTCATATGCACTGTTCTTTATTATCACATGTTGTCCATGGTGGGGGGAATGGGGAGGGATCCCTCTGGCAGAGAAGTAGAAGAAAGGAGTAAGGGGGAACCATTTATTTTCTGCACTCTGCCCTTCCTCCCAGCTGACAGTGGTAAGGGTTTGGTCACCAGCTTCGGGCTAAGGAAGCAGAACTCCTTAGATACAAGCACAGTGTTGTGTGAGAAGGTTGGGTACTGTCTCATACTTGAAAGAATAACCTCCATCTGAGGTGGTACGGACGTGCAGGGGCCTCATGGTTCCCGGGAGGGCAGCGCAGCAAGGCTGGGCCCCTGGCACCAAAGAAAGGGGCTGGACAGGGGTAGGGGGAACCCCGGGGACTGGCAGGGGGAGGTCTGGCGGAGTGGGCAGTCCACAGCCACCATGACAGTAGTGAAAGATGAAGCTGGGAGGGTGCACGATCCACCGGTCCCAGCCTAGCTCCTGGAAGGAGATGTTGAGTGCAGCTCTGTGGCAGTAGGCGTGGGCAGCAGGTTCCTCTGGAGGCCTCTGCAACAGGCGCAGAGCCGCAGGAGACCAAGGCCAGGGCATTGGGGGAGTGGAGCGCCGAGCTCTCTCCCCTCCGCTAGGTGGTCTGGCCCGAGTATGGGCCACCAGGAAAGGTGTGGTCTCTGGCCGGGCTGAGCAGGAACAGAGAGGACATCGCAGCAGTAACACCAGGACAGGGTGAGTCAGCAGAGGGAGAGCAGAGGTGTCCAGATGCAGTACAGCCCAGCGAGGGGGTGCCTGGCCCAGGGACATGGGCACAGCCATGGGTCCCCCAGACGATAGCACCAGCAGGCTTAGCAGGGGCCCAGAGCTATTGGAGACCACTGTGCCCTTCTTGTCTAACCCCGTATGGAACCACAGCTGGGCCGAAGTCACCTGTCGGCTGCGTGTGTGGTGGGATGGCCGGAACACATATGTGAAGACACCTTCCTCAGCCTCTTGGACCAGCCCTCCAACAGCTGGCTGGTCCTCACAGCCGGCACCTGCAAGGGACAGTAGAAAAGAGAGAGGGCAGCCCTGATCAGCAAGACCTGGAACCCTTCTCCCCTTGCCTCATCAGGAGAGATGTGGCCGCCATTCACCAGTGGTAATGTTATGCCATACACTCTGCTGAGGGCCCTCTCAGACCTAGGGCTTCTCCCAAGTCTTGGGAGAACTGAAATAGGCTCCCCATTTTTTCACTTAATTATTAAAGCATTTTAAAAATGTAAAACAGGGCTGATACAGGGGCACACTCCTGTAAAACCAGCAACTCAGGAGACTAAGGCAAGAAGATTGCCCCTTTGAAGCCAGCCTCAAAACAACAACAACAACAACAACAAAAATATATATATATATATATATATATATATATATATATATATATATATATAATAAAAAGAGCTGGAGTACATATGTAGCTCAGTGGTAAAGGGCCCCTGGGCTCAATCCCCAATATTAAAAAAATAAGTTAAAAAAAAAAAAAGAAGAGGGCTGGGGTTGTGGCTCAGTGGCAGAGAGCTTGCCTAGCATGTGTGAGGCACTGGGTTCGATTCTCAGCACCACATAAAAATTAATAAAATAAAGGTCCATTGACAACTAAAGAGATATTTAAGAAAAAGAAGGAAAACAATATTAGACTATATTAAACAACATTAGGACTAGAATTAGAATAAAATTACTTGGTTATATATATATACATATATATATATATATTATTTATATATACACACACACACATACACACCTTGTAAATGTTTTGGAAAGCAAGAGAAAAGAAAGACTAAGCATAGAACCAAAATATGAGAATTTCAATCTAGTATGCCCCCTGACCATTGTGGATCATCCTCAGTTAAACAGAGTTATATGACAGAAAGAAAAAAATACAATATAGGGGTTGAGTATAGAATTCAGTTTTAGACTGCTTGCTTCACATGCATGAGGTCCTGGGTTTAATCCCCAGCACTGCAAAAAAGAAAAAAAAAATACACATACACACACAAAACATCACCAACTTCTCTTTGAGGTAGTTTTTCAATTAATATTCCACAGAGCAATGTGTAAGAGTTTCTGTTAGCTGGTTACAGTGGCACACACATGCAATTCGAGCAGTTCAAGGGGCTGATCCAGGAGGATCCCAAGTTCGAGGCCAGCCTGAGCAACTTAACAAGACCCTGCCTCAAAATAAAAAGAACTGGGATCTGGGGATGTAACTCAATGATAAAGTGCCCCTGAATTCAATCCCCAGTATCAAAAAAAAAAAAAAAAGAAAAGAAAAGAAAAGTCAGGCTGGGGGTGTGGCTCAAGCGGTAACGCATTCGCCTGGCATGCACGGGGCGCTGGGTTCGATCCTCAGCACCACATAAAAATAAAATAAAGATGTTGTGTCCACCGAAAACTGAAAAATAAATATTAAAAAAACAGAAAAGTCCCTATCACTCTCTACCTTCACCAATATTTAGAATTGTTAGACTTTGTTATATTACTCTTTATAACTCTGGGAGTGTCAGAAGCATTATATGAAAAGTTTTTAAAAATAATTCCATTTTTAAAAGTCAGATTAATACACACACACACACACACACACACACAACAGGAAGAAAGGAAAGAAAAAGAAGAGGAGGAGGACTAGGGATGTAACAGAATAGAGGGCTGTCCTTCCCAAGAAAGAGCAGCTGGCATCTTTGCCCCAACATACATCGATGATAGTAAATAATCACGGGCCAGCCCCAGGCAGTTGGGGCTATACTATTACAAAGCTTCTCTCATTATAAATTCATAAAAATGGATCCATTTTTCAGATAAGAAACTGAGGCTTAGAGAGATGAAGTGATTTTCAACTTCTAAATGGCCATACTGGAATTCTGCCTGATTCTAAAGTCATACTTTTCTCCAGTATGCTGCAGGTGGGCTGAAGCCAGGGAGGCAGAGGGTCCTCCGTGAGAAAGTTGGGCCAGAGGAGGGCTTTATTCATTCAGTCAGTAGAATGAGGGGAAACACAAATGGAAGTGAGACAGGAACTCAAGAGAAGATAGACTAACTTCCCAACTAATCTATCCTCCTGCCTCCCTGATATCTCTCTTCAAGTCTCAGCTACCTGGAGCTGAAGAAACAAGGCTTGGGCAGGGAGCAGAGGCAGAGTTAAGAGAAAAGATAGCAGGAAGAGCCCAAGCCCAGAGAGCTCTGCCTCAAGATGCCTCCCATGTTTCAGTCACTCTATAAGCTCACCAGCTCACTCAACCCTAAGAGTGGGCATTATTGAGGAGACAGAGGCTCAGGGGACTTTAGTAATTGATCCACTGATGCTAAGCCAGCTGAGTGGCAGGGTTGGGATTCAAACCCAGGTCATCCTCCTCCCAAGCCCAGGTGCTTCTCAAAGTCACCTTGCTGGTTCCCCACCCTTGTTACCTGTGGCTGGAAAAAGGATGGCCTGGGAGACATCCTCCGCCTCGGGCTCAGAGCCCCTTCGTGTGAAGCCCCCCACAGCGTGTCTTCTGGGCAGCCGCCTGATTCCAGGACTCCCACCTTCCCCCATCACTGCTGGGGGCCCCAAGGCATCCAAGAACAGGGCCCTCACCTTGGCCAGGACAAGTTCCCTGTCCAGCTCCAGCCCATGGCAGCCCTGCCCACCCTGCGGGGCTAATAGCAAGAGCAGCAGCAGGGGCAGCTGAGGTACCATAGCTCACCTGGCCCTACCAACGGGGAACCCACACCCTGCCCTGTGTCCTCTCTATCAGGGTCTGCCCAAGGCCTCTGCAACCTCCTCTCCCCATCCCACCACCTGCCCTCTTCTATCCTTCTCACCCCTCTTCCCCAGCCCTTCCCACGCCCTGCAGTCCAAGTCACCCCTGCCCATGGCATTGAGACCTCCTATCTCTGACGCAGAGGTCTGTGGCCCTGAGCCTTATCTCCCACTGGGGCCAAGAATGTGGGAGAGGGGGCTGGGGAGGATGTTCACCCGGAGTGACCTGACCCACACATACAAACATACACTTCTTCCCCCTACACACACACACACACACACACTCTCTCTCTCTCTCTCTCTATCTCTATCTCTCTCTCTGTCTCTCTCTCTCTCTCTCACACACACACACACACACAAACACTGTCTCACGTCTCAGCACCCAGCACAGAGGTGACCTCAGGTGGGACAGAAGCAGCCTGAGAGCTGCTTGGCCAGGGTTTGGCCAGTTTCTGAAAGTGTCTTTTGTCAGAAAGACAGAATGCATCAGCTTCCTTAGCCCCTCTGAGAGCCCTTCAACCAAGCAACTGCTGGGCTAGCCTAAGCGAAGGGTTGGGCTGCAACTAGAACTGGGGCTTGGGCGGGGGGCAGGTGGTCCAGCCTGCTCTATACTTAGCCTGGAGGAGCCAGTCTGGGCCCTTGTCCTCCAGCTGTGTCATCAGAGAATATTTTTGGGATTGGCAGCTGCAGGCGCCTCTGCCACTCAGGCCCAAGCCTGGCGGGCAGTTGGGGACCTGGCGGCTGGAGGTGGGAGGGAGGAAAGAGGCCCAGGCTGTGGGAGGGGGCTGGGAAGAGAGCAGGAAGCCAGGCCGCGGGCAGAGGAGGCTGCGGGGCCCCTCGCTGGAAAGGCAAACAGGAAGGACTGCCCCCTAAGCTCTGGACTGCGGGCCGGGGAGTCTCCGCCGCGCGCCAGATCTGCTGCTCCAGGCCGAGGGTAAGGAGGCGAGCCGGAAGGGGTGGACTGGGGCGAGCTCCGCGGGTCCCCAACGCTCCAGCCTTCGGGACTCGCGCTGCTCTCCCGGCCTCGGCGCCACCGCCGACCGCCCTTCCCCCGCGCCGCGGCGGGCCATCCGCAGCCACCGCGATGAAGGCAGGCTCAGGGGATCAAGGAAGTCCCCCGTGCTTCCTGCGCTTCCCGCGGCCCGTGCGGGTGGTAAGTGGCGCGGAGGCCGAGCTCAAGTGCGTGGTCCTGGGGGAGCCGCCGCCCACTGTCGTGTGGGAGAAAGGCGGGCAGCAGCTGGCGGCCTCGGAGCGCCTGAGTTTCCCGGCGGACGGCGCGGAGCATGGCCTGCTGCTGAGCGGCGCACTGCCCACCGACGCCGGGGTCTACGTGTGCCGCGCTCGTAACGCGGCGGGAGAGGCCTACGCGGCAGCCGCGGTCACCGTGCTGGAGCCGCCGGCCCCCGAGCCTGAGCCCCAACCCGCCGAGCACCCGCTGCCACCTCCGGGAACCGGGGAGGGCGCCCCGGTGTTCCTGACGGGACCCCGGTCCCAGTGGGTGCTGCGGGGGGAGGAGGTGGTGCTGACGTGCCAGGTGGGGGGCCTCCCCGAACCCACGCTGTACTGGGAGAAGGATGGGATGGCCCTGGACGAGGTGTGGGACAGCAGTCACTTCGTGCTGGAGCCCGGCCGCGCCGCGGGTGGCCAGGGCACGAGCCTGGCACTGCGCATCCTGGCGGCCCGTCTGCCAGACTCGGGCGTCTACGTGTGCCACGCCCGCAACGCGCACGGCCACGCGCAGGCCGGCGCGCTGCTCCAGGTGCACCAGCCCCCCGAGAGCCAGCCGGAGGACCCCGAGGAAGCCCCCGCTCCGGTGGTGGAGCCTCTCAAGTGCGCGCCCAAGACCTTCTGGGTGAACGAGGGCAAGCACGCCAAGTTCCGCTGCTACGTGATGGGCAAGCCTGAGCCCGAGATCGAATGGCACTGGGAGGGCCGCCCCCTGCTTCCTGACCGCCGCCGCCTCATGTACCGCGATCGCGATGGCGGCTTTGTGCTCAAGGTGCTCTACTGCCAGGCCAAGGACCGCGGGCTCTATGTCTGCGCGGCACGGAACTCTGCTGGCCAAACGCTCAGCGCTGTGCAGCTGCACGTCAAAGGTAGCGCCCTCTGAGCGTTCTGGGGCTGGGGAGGGGCCTCCATCGCCCTCTGAGGTCCTCCTTACTCGTGCTCCCCTTGGTGCCCAAGTCTGGGCGACAGGCGGAAACTTTAAATACCAGTTTCCTGACTGACTGCCTCTCACCCCTCAGAGATTTGATTTAGTAGGTTTCCAAGACATTCAGGAGTTTCTTAGCCCATTCCAAGGCACTAAGAAATGGTTGATGTACAAACCGCGAGAACCCTAGATCTCTTCTCCAGTGGTTTCCAACCTTTGCTATCTTAGCCCTTTCTCAACTGGATTCCCATTTGTAACTCCAATATGTAAGACAGATATAAGGAGCATTTTTATCTGTCTAAACGAATAAGGCTAGGTCTAAACTTAAAAGGTTAATCAGTGAGAACAAGGGACTGCAGTATTGAGTGTACACATTTGGAGTGGAGGCTGGACGCATAGTGGGTCTAGTCTCTGAACCTGTGGGGAAGGCCCTGATGCTGACATCAAGTAGAGAAACTATTCACTCACAGGAGAGGAAAAATATCCCATAATTTTTGGCTATTCTTTCATTAAACTGCTTTTTTAAGTTTGAAAAAAGAGGAAGATGAAGGAGAGAAAATTTGTTTTTCAAACTTGAATCACCAATAATATCTAATAAATGCTTACCTTATTCACAAACAGAAAATTCATACAAAACAAAAACACGCCCCATGCTCACACTGGAAGTTAAAGTTCTCTGTAATAGGATTTCATCACAACATGAGGGGTTATACCTTCACTGGTTATTACTCAACTTTCTGCTGGGAAAAAAAAATGTTGACAAATTCTTCCGAGCCCTGCCTGGCACTCACTCAAGCGTGTGGCACCTGGGCTTGTAGCAGTGGCCTCACTGGTACAGCTTTATGTGCACGAACTTGCCAGGCCAGTGCTGAATTGGAATTTCATCAAGAAAGAAAAGCCCAGAGGGAAGGCAAGAGGAACTTCCCAGAGTGCCATAAAAAACCAGCTTCTCCAGCAACCCAAGTTAACCCGCTGGTATTTTCCAGCATCATATGTCTTTTTATCTTTTCTCTTTCCTAACTTTTCTTTCTTTTTACTATATTTTTGAAAATGGTTAGAATACCTTAATAATGAAATTCGACTCGGACCATGGCAGAATTTGTGAGGTGCCTCTGAGAAGCCTAAGGGACCAGTTTGAAAATCACTGACCTGAGATCTAACTTCTCCCCTTGCTTTTCTCATTTTACAAGTAAGGGAACTGAGTCACAGGACTTGCTCAAGGTGATGTGGCTAGCAAGTGTCAGGGTCAGATGAGAAGGCCATCGTTTGACTTCCCTTCTTATAATTTATGATTTTATGATTCCATGTGCCTGCTGTCTCTGGGGAAAGAGCAAAGAACGAGATCTCACGTATGTTCAGGAGCCCTCTTCCTGGGCTGGCCTCTCTCCAGAGCCTTCTCTTGTCTCTCCCCTCTCCGCAGAGCCCCGCCTCCGCTTCACGAAGCCCCTGCAGGATGTGGAGGGCCGGGAGCATGGGATTGCGGTGCTGGAGTGTAAAGTGCCCAACTCCCGCATTCCCACAGCCTGGTTCCGAGAGGACCAGCGGCTGCTGCCCTGCCGCAAGTATGAACAGATTGAAGAGGGCACCGTCAGGCGCCTTATCATCCACAGGCTGAAGGCAGATGATGATGGTGTCTACCTGTGCGAGATGAGAGGCCGGGTGCGCACAGTGGCCAATGTCACAGTTAAAGGTCAGCTGGCCAGTGGGAAGAGGCTGAGGCTGAGGCTATGGCCAGCAGGTGCCTAGCCCTGGGCTGATGGCTTGCCGTGCACATCTCAGGGCCCATACTGAAGAGGCTGCCCCGGAAGCTTGATGTGCTGGAGGGAGAGAACGCCGTGCTGCTGGTGGAGACGCGAGAGGCCGGGGTCGAGGGGCGCTGGAGCCGTGATGGGGAGGAGCTGCCAGCTACCTGCCAGAGCAGTTCTGGTCACATGCACGCCCTGGTCCTTCCAGGGGTTACCCGAGAAGAAGCTGGAGAGGTCACCTTCAGCCTAGGCAACTCCCGCACCACCACTCTGCTCAGAGTCAAATGTGAGGACATGAAGGCCTCTGCCCAGGAAGGCCAGGGTGGGAGGGTGACCAGACACCAGAGCCGGGGTCAGCAAAGTATATTCAAAGACGGAGGGCTGTGGGAGGCTTGAGCAAGATTGAGTGCAAACCCTGCCCTTGTCTCAGGTGTCAAGCATAATCCTCCAGGACCTCCGGTGCTGGCTGAGATGTTCAAGGGCCACAAGAACACGGTCCTACTGACCTGGAAGCCTCCTGAGCCACCTCCTGAGACCCCCTTTATCTACCGCCTGGAGCGGCAGGAGGTGGGCTCTGAAGACTGGATCCAGTGCTTCAGCATTGAGAAAGCTGGAGCTGTGGAGGTGCCAGGCGACTGCGTGCCCTCGGAGGGTGACTACCGTTTCCGCGTCTGCACAGTTAGCGAACATGGCCGCAGTCCCCACGTCGTGTTCCCTGGTTCTGCTCACCTTGGTGAGTCATCCTGCCAGACCCTGCCTGTTAGTGGCTGTACCCCAAGTCATGTCCTCCCATCACCCCTTCTCCCTCTCCCAGCCCTCAGTTCCTGTCCTCAGGGACTGCCAGCCCAGCCCTCTGCTTTCTGGTTTCTTCACTCTGTCCCCTTCTGGTTCTGATGGCTACACTCTGTCCTACCTCAGTGCCCACAGCTCGCCTGGTGGCAGGTCTGGAGGATGTGCAGGTATATGATGGGGAAGATGCTGTCTTCTCCCTCGATCTGTCCACCATCATCCAGGGGACCTGGTTCCTTAATGGGGAAGAACTCAAGGTTAACAAGCCAGAGGGCCAGGTGGAGCCTGGGGCCCTGAGGTACCGAATGGAACAGAAGGGTCTGCAGCACAGACTCATCCTGCAAGCCGTCAAGCACGAGGACAGTGGGGCCCTGGTTGGCTTCAGCTGCCCTGGTGTACAGGACTCAGCTGCCCTCACCATCCAAGGTTGGTGCTGGCGGGGCCCCCAAGAGGGCAGACAGGGTCAAGACCAAAAGTCCTGTTGGCCAAACACAGCAAATACTGTTCCACTTTCTCACAGGCTAAGAAGCTCATACGGAGAGGTCAGAGGCCAGTAGGCCAATTTCAACCTGTGTGCAACATACGGGGCACTCATTCTCTCTATAGCATCACATCCCAATTCTCGGGAGTGTTTTATGCTTTACAGAAATCTGTCACTTTTGTCATATCATTTGGGAGGCATGGACCTTGACCTTTAGTTCCTGACTGCTTCCTGCTCCATCATAGCAGTTTCCCTATGTGCCAGGGCCAGTCCTAATCCCTTGAGATTAATTAACACTATCCTCTTAACAGCCCTATGAGATAGTCTCTTTTGTCATCCCCATTTTATAAGTGAGACAGCTGAAGCACAGAGAGGTTAAATAACTTGTTCAGCATCACAGAGCTACTGAATGGTGGTGTTGGATTATGAACCCAGGTAGTCTGGCTCTAGAATCCCCCTATGCCACCTGTTGGGACAGGGAAGGAGAGAGGATGAGGCATCCCTGAGGAGGACAGTTAGAGTAGGGTGACTGAGAATTCAAGGAACACTCTAGTGTTTGCCCTCTCACCATTACTGGAGTTTGTTAGACCAATCAAGAAATGAGCAGTGCCCAAGTATGGGCCTCAAGAGGGCCAGCTACCAGCTAGCAAGCCGAGGGCAGGGGAGAAGTGAACAGCAGCCAGGATCCAGCACCTCAGAATCACCTGGAGGGCTGGTTGATAATGCAGACTCCCTGGCCTCTGCAAACTCAAGACTTCTAGAGTCTGCCTTTGGGGCAGGCTCTCTAGGAATC